AGGGGGTTCACAGACCAACAACCGTGAAACAGTGATCTAGGCCAGTGATTCCCCAACTGTGCCCCACATGCCCCGGGAAGCCACGACCTCTTCACAGGGGCGACGCGAAATATTGTAAAAGCTTCATAATTAATTTAACCAAGACACGAATAGTCATACTTTTACTTAGGTTAGGGCGTCGTGGACACATTTTAAATGAAGAAAAGCGCCGCGACCAAGACAAGTTTGGGAAACACTGGTCTATGCAATTTAAACAATACTGAACAGACAATCAGCATATAACCCAAACTATACTTGGTTGAACATCAGAAAAACAGAATCCATGATTCTGAATTACGTCTGTAACAGACCACAGACATCAAAAGATTGAGCTAGAGTCTTGTGTGCCATGTATCACTCCCCTACCTCATACACCGACACACTTAATTTGTTCTGATGACATACATACAGGCAGGTAATCACAGATGCAGTATAAGCATGAATAAATCAGTATTTAATTGCAAAACATCTGCAGGACGGCACGTATTTAAAAACAAACAAACATTTCAAAATTTAGCAGTCCTGTAATACGTGAACTGGATACTAAAGTGTGATCATTCAAAAATGTTAGCAATGAACATCGCCAAAACATATAATATTAGCTTCAAACATAAATATGCCCTGGAACAAATACATTTTTTTTCATATGAACAGTTTTTAGCAGATATCAGATGTCGCTTGCCTTTATTCATCTTTGTGATAGCATTCTCTTTCCAGTTGGTGACTTCTAGTGTTTTGCGGGTTTCCCTGAAAACTATATCTCCGCTGTCTTCTTGGTCTGCCTCATGGTCTACATCCTTTCATTTCTTTTATGGATGCAGTTTTTGTCTCTGTTGAAACTGTTTTTAAAATCACTTTAAAAAAAAATAATTTCTTGATTTGTTTCCTTCATCCCAGGAGACATTTGAATTTTCAAGTTTTGAAATCAATGATGGACATCATAAATGTCCATGTAAAACATATAATACTATAAAATATTTTACAAATATTTTTTTCTAAAATACAGGTTGTAAAAATAAGAATATTGTTGGTACAATTACTTAGCAAACAATTAAAGTGTAATAATTATACAAGAGGAATGTATGCAGATTAAACCAGTGATCAAAGCAAAGTTTTGATTAGTTACATTTTTGCAATCTCAATGATGATTCATGGACAAACTGACCAGTGTTAAAATGGCAAATTTAGCCATATAACAAAAATTATGGTACAAACTGGCCAGTGTTAAAATGGTAAATTCTGCCATAAAACAAAGATAATAGTACAAACTGGCGAATCTTAAAACAGTAAATTCAGCCATAAAACATAGATAGTGGTACAAACTGGCTAGTGTTAAAACTATATTCAGCCATAATACAAAGATAATAGCACAAATTGGCCAGTATAAAACTAGTCATCTCAATCAACAAAACTGCCACTTGTCAGCAACACATTGGCCCAAACAAATGATTTTCTAACCACATAACCGTGAGCAGTAACCTGAGAAACATGACCAGGTATCGGACACAATTACATAATATCTTCTGTTAACTTGTTTTATTCATTTTGGCAGAGTAGGAATGAAATGGTTGTCTTGAAGACTGTCTTGGCATACTTGATGTGGTAGCTTTCCCTTGCTTTCCACATCCACATTGAAGTGGTTAAAGTGGGATTTGATCGTATTGACGTTTTGCAAAGGACCAACTACAAGATGATAATGATGAATCAAACTAGATTTTTACAATCTATGGAAAACAAGAAAAAGTGGAAAACAGGAGGCAGTGGAAAACAGGAGGTAATGCACAGGTAGATCAAGAGGCAGAGAGGACTGCTGATGGCATGGTGGAATAATCTTCAGTGGAACTGATTCAAAAATACTAGACTGCGATCTGTAGACACATGAGCACCTTGGCTGCCTGGCTGGGCACATGATGATGATGATGACGACCTTGACCGGGAAACAGACTGGTCAAGGTCTGTCTGCATCTCTCTGTGGTTACTTAAGAAACAGATTCCCAACCACGAGACTGGCCAACACAGTAAGTGATAGACTTCTTTGGAAGTCAAAATGCATCAGCCTCAGAGGCAAAAAACCAACAGTCTGCACACAAACAAGCCCAATCTGTAAAACAGATGTGCATGCAACATACCAAGTCCTGGAATGAGATAAAAAGTCCAGAAGTGGACGAGCAACCAAAACTTTTTGCTGAAGTTTACAGCCAGTGGACATGAAAAAGAAATGAAGCCCCTATTTTAGCAAGCAACATCACTAACCACCAAACACATGCAGATTCCCAAATTAGTGTGTGAGTGTATTATCAAACCATTTTAAAATTACTTTTCATTATTTTTAATTCATAACATAGTACATGACAGATACAGATAAATATAATCAGTAAATGCATCCTTTGGAAAAATAATTATAAAACATGTAAAAGGCACACATATATACATGTATGTATTGTGTTCTAGTTTTGTGAGTTTTTTTATTTTTTTCTGGTGCAATTTTGAAAATAAAGGATGAGGTACATGTGAAACATAAAATGGGATGGATTCAAGAGAGGTGAAGAAACAGCAGTTATAAAAGAAAGAAGATGGCAAAAATCCTGAGAAGAAATAAGCAGAGAATCAACCAACAGACACTGAAAAAGGAATTAAGAAAGCTAGGACATTCCCCCTCCCCCCACAAAAACAAATACCCTACAACAAAGTTTAATGAGAGATGCCAAAAGGCCAGACTGGATTCCATCTATGACATCAAAGGGATATAGCGGAATGGAGGAACAGACTGCAAGCCCTATGTGACATGTTAAGGCACAAAAGGACAACGATAATGATGATGATAAGCAAGGGGCAAACAGTATTCCTTGGTCAGGTATTAAGAAGAAAGACAATGAAGAAAACAGTAAAACCTAAAGAGATCAGTGTCAAAGAGAAGGTTTGAAGAGGTTTTGAACAACAGATCAACATCATGGCACATGGGAAGTAACCTATAAGTGCTCCGTTCTTCTTCTAACTCAAGGCTGAGTCTAAAGAAGCTCAGCATGGTGCACAGGCTCTGTAGCACCGGCGAAGATCCAGAAATATTTTGGGTGGATTTTTAACTCTAAACTTTTGCCCGGGCAACACCATGAGTCTTCTCTTTTCTATTTCCAACTGCCAAGGGATTGTTTACGCATGCAACAATGCACACGGGCATGTGATCTCACTACCCAAAGACCAGGGGGATTTACTGGAAGTTTATGTGAAAAAATCTCAGCCCTTACCAGGGATTGAACCCGGAACCTTTAGCACTCAAGGCGGACATCAAGTCTTAAAGCCATGCAGCCCCCCCCCCCCTCCCCCCCCAAGAGAAGGAGCAATGGAAATGATGCCAGATTTTCAATGGTCTCCGTGGCAACGTGGTCAAGTCATTTGCCTTGCACTTAGGTCATGGGTTTGTTCCACAGCAGCGCTCTTCAGTTCAAGAGTGCAATCTTTACGGAGATCGCTGGAGATCATCGCTGGAGCTAGGGAGTTCATGCTCTGCGCGATGCACTTGGCAGATGGTTAGCTGTTCTGCAGACAGAAATCGAGCCATGTGGGATATAACCCGGTGCAATGAAGTCGATCTTCTTGAGGTTCATCTTTAACCTTTTTTATGCAAGATTATCTAAGATTGTGACATGGAGGCAGATCACCAAAAGAATATGATCCAGACCAATCAGGACAGAGAACTGTGCAGGAGCAATAACTCTTTCAGTCCCGAAAAAATGCATCATACATTCACAGGTTCCTACCCAGAAGCCCACTTGAATGCAAGATGTGCTGATTTAACCTCTGTCTTTATTATCCCTTGGACCTCTGATGCTGAACCCCCTAGGATTCAAAGAGTTGACATTTTGGTATTGAGTCATTGGTTACTCTTCATCTAGCATCAATTTCTTTGTATCCTATCCCATTCTTTGGCTATGTTAACCCATAAAAGGCTAAAAAAAAATGAAGAGGATGTATAGATATCCTTTGTATATAGGCATCTGGATCCTTACTGGTGCTGCAGATTTGGTGCGCTGTGTTGAGTCTCCATATCTATTTTTTTGGGGGGCAGTGAAAGTGATCCTTAACCAAATCCAACCCTAAATTACTTGGGGGAGGAGGGGGGGGGGGGGGGGGGGGCCAGACTCACAATTCTCTCCTCTTAACAAACATTTTATAATTCATTCCCATTTAAACATTCTAAGAACCATCTCTAATCAAGATTCTAAACATTAAACATAACCTTCATTTAAAAAAAAAAACTATGCAAAATTCAAAAATCTACCCACAACTAAAATTATTAAAAAAAAAAAAAAATACTCATCCAACATCGTAAACACATTCTCTAATCAAGATCCTAAATCACAAACCCAACCTATATTTAAAAAGAAAACTATGCAACATTAAAAAAATCCACCCCTAACTAACATTAACCCCCCCCCCCCCCCCCCCCCCCCCCAAAAAAAAACACTCAACATTCTACAAAAATCATCATCCTAAAATTCTAAAAAATATTCTAAAAAACTAAACCTGAATCAATATTCTAAAAACAAAAACCACCACCATCCCACATTCTAAAAACCATTCTCAACCAGTATTCTAAAAATCACATTTTATTATTAACAGAAACAAACAAGATCACTAATGCTCAACCAAATCCTGAATTGACTGTCTAAACAGGCGTTTACTACTGCATACAAATTCTCGTTTGACAAATCGGGCAATCTGTTACAAGATGTGCCTAACTGTCATTGATTATAATTAAATATTAAAAAAATGATTGGTAACAAATTTGGTGTGATTTTTATTTGTTGACCTATTTGGCGGAACAGCAAACAAGTAGATACGCCAGGAAGTTAACAAATATATAAATAATTAATAAAAGACAAGACTCTTGTGGAAGTCGCCAGTTGGTACAAAAATTCAGTCTCATACTATCTTTCATTCTAGAAGAATGGACAAGCTGTTCATCTAGCTTGCTGATTTGGTAGCACCTGGGTAAAGTTCTCTGGAAACACACCCCGGACGCCATCTGATGCTTTGATGCCCATCTGCCAGCCTTCATCCTGGGGAGGGGAAACATATCTGGCACAATTATCATCTAAGTCTCCAGTAGAAAAGTTGGCAGATGGATAGATGGACGGACAGATGAACGGACAGACTGATAGATGAACGGACAGACTGATAGACAGAACAAACTTTATTTAAAAAAAGTCATAAACTGGAGACATTGAACCATCTTACAATCAGCCCTCTCTAACACTCACTTTTTACAGGGCAGTTGAATTTTATATATCAAGCATATTGTGTTCACATATATACAGCAAGAGACAGAAGGGTAGATACACCGATAGAATGTGACAAGCAGTATGTGTTAGGCAGGCAGCCACATAGATAGACAAGTAGGTAGGTAGGCAGACAGACAAGTATGTAGGTAAGTAGAGAAATAGAGAGAGAGAGAGAGAACATAATTTTATTTTTCCAGGGTCACAAATTAGGCATTCAGGCCTGTCTTACTTTTGACCCTTCCAGATATTAATCTTTCACAAATATACATACCTACGTATAACATATGCATATATCACACACACATAATCACACTTACACACTCATTCATATCCCTACATACTCTCATACATATATACCCACATACACACACCCTCAAGCATACACACTTGATCATAAAGAGAGAAAGAAAAATACAAGCATCAGTATCTATCATTATAGAGAGAGAGATCCACCTATGGCATAAATAACACTGTAACAACCGACTCACCTGCACACACACAACTCCCCAGAAACAACACTGTAAAAACTGGTTCACCTGCACACACACACACAACTCCCCACCTATGGCGGAAATAACACTGTAACAACCGACTCACCTGCACACACACACAACTCCCCACCAATAGCAGAAATAACACTGTAACAACTGACTCACCTGCACACACACACAACTCCCCACCTATGGCAGAAAAAACACTGTAAAAGCTGGTTCACCTGCACACACACAACTCCCCACCTATGGCAGAAATAACACTGTAACAACTGACTCACCTGCGCACACACACACAGCTTCCCACCTATGGCAGAAATAACACTTTAACAACCAACCCACCTGCACACAAACACACCTATGGCAGAAATAACACTGTAACAAACCGACTCACCTGCACACAAACAGACCTATGACAGAAATAACACTGTAACAACCGACTCACCTGCACACACACAACTCCCCATTTAGGGCAGAAATAACACTTAACAACTGACCCAACTGCACACATCTATGGCAGAAATAATACTGTAACAACCGACTCACCTGCACACAAACAACTCCCCACCTATGGCAGAAATAACACTGTAACAATCAACTCACCTGCACACAAACCCACCTCCCCACCTCTGGCAGAAATACCACTGTTACAACCGACTCACCTGCACACACAACTCCCCACCTATGACAGAAATAACACTGTAACAGCCGACTCATCTGCACACAAACCCACCTCCTCACCTCTGGCAGAAATACCACTGTAACAGCCGACTCACCGGCACACACACAACTCCCCACCTAAGGCAGAAATGCTACTGTAACAGCCGACTCACCTGCACACAAACAACTCCCCACCTAAGGCAGAAATACCACTGTAACAGCCGACTCACCTGCACACACACAACTCCCCACCTAAGGCAGAAATACCACTGTAACAGCCGACTCACCGGCACACACACAACTCCCCACCTATGGCAGAAATACCACTGTAACAGCCGACTCACCTGCACACAAAACCCACCTCTGGCAGAAATACAACTGTAAAAGCTGACTCACCTGCACACACACAACTCCCCACCCATGACAGAAATAACACTGTAACAACTGATTTACCTGCACACAAACACACCTTCCCACCCATGACAGAAATACCACTGTAACAGCTGACTCATCTGCACACAAACACACATCCCTACCCATGACAGAAATACCACTATAAAAGCTGACTCACCTGCACGCACACAACTCCCCACCTTTGGCAGAAATAACACTGTAACAACCGACTCACCTGCACACAAAACCCACCTCTGGCAGAAATACCACTGTGAAAGCTGACTCACCTGCACACACACAACTCCCCACCCATGACAGAAATAACACTGTAACAGCCGACTCATCTGCACACAAACCCACCTCCCCACCTCTGGCAAAAATACCAATGTAACAGCCGACTCACCTGCACACACACAACTCCCCACCTATGGCAGAAATACCACTGTAACAGCCGACTCACCTGCACACAAAACCCACCTCTGGCAAAAATACCACTGTAACAGCTGACTCACCTGCACACAAAACCCAGCTCTGGCAGAAATACCACTGTAACAGTCGACTCACCTGTACACAAACACACATCCCCACCCATGACAGAAAAAACACTGTAACAACCGATTCACCTGCACACAAACACACCTCCCCACCCATGACAGAAAAAAACACTGTAACAACCGACTCACCTGCTCACACACAACTCCTCACCTATGACAGAAATAACACTGTAACAACCGACTCACCTGCTCACACACAACTCCCCACCTATGACAGAAATAACACTGTAACAACCGACTCACCTGCTCCTCAGGGTTATCAAACTCTATCACGTAGATCATCTCCCCAGCTTCAAAGCTCAGCTCGTCCTCATCTTCATTGTTGTACCTGTGTACAGCTTGCACCTGGAACACACACAGCTGACTTCTGACTACCTGTCTTTTCTTCTGCTCCTTACCACCCTCATAATGAAACATGTCAACACATACCATGCCAAGAGGACTCTTTTTATTTTTGTTTTTGTCCAGAGCCTTCTGTCTTATGTACTTTCAATCAATTCTGACACAGATGATCTTTCATACTTTGTAGTGCTGGTAGTCATGTATACCCACAACTATCAGTCTTGTGTACTTTCAATCAATTCAGACACAGAAGATCTTCCATACCTTGTATCCAAAACGTTCTGGCCTGTGTACTTTCAATCATTTCTGATACAGAAGATCTTCCATACCTTGTGGTGTTGGTAGTGATGTCTATCCACAACCTTCTGTCTTGTGTACTTATAATCAATTCTGATACAGAAGATCTTCCATACCTTGTAGTGTTAGTAGTCATGTCTATCCACAACCTTCGGTCTTATGTACTTTCAATCAATTCTGACACAGATGATCGCCCTAGCCAAGATGTCAAACTATCCTCCATCTTCTCTTTCCGTCTTCCTCTGCCTCTCTTCCCCTCCAAACTTTCCTACTATCATGACGTACTTCAGCTGTTTCTTCTCATCACATGACCAAAGAATGTAGGTTTTCTCCTTCCGATGTGGGCAATCAGTTCTCTTCGTGAGTCAGTTTCTTTCAAGACATCTTCATTACTCTTGTTATCTGTTCAGGGTATTCTCGTCATTCATCTATAAAACCAAATACATTTTCACTAATCTGTTAACTGTCCACGATTCACCTCCATATATCTTGATATGATATACATAGCTCTTCCTCACATAAGCAAAGGCTGTCACATTTTACCACCTCACATTGTCATCAGCATCACAGATCGGGTCAGTGTTCTTGTCTTGCCCCATCCAAATGGCTAAACCATCCAGGTATATTCATTTGTTTGCTTTCTCCAAGTATTCCTTCAATTTTGCCAATCATTCCAAGCTTCTGAGTCCATTCCATCTCAAAGCATAACCAAAACACTCATTTTTTAAATTTAAAAAAAAATTAGTTTATGATTTCCATTTGTATAATGATCTTCTTCATGTTTTGGGGGACATAAACAAATGAATTTATTTTCGAAGGGTTACAAACTGGGTCAGCAGGCCCGTCTTACATTTGGCTCTTCCAAGCACTCATCTTTCAGGCCACAATTGCATGTTATGGACACACAAAGAACAGCTAATTACAAATGATATGTTTACTGGTAAACGTAAAGAGCAGCCAATCACAAATGACATGTTCATTGGTACACACAAAGAACAGCTAATCACACATGACATGCTAATTATTACATATAAGGAACAGCCAATCACAAATGAAACGTTCACTGGTACACACAAAGAACAGCCAGTCACAAATGACATGTTTATTGGTACACAAAAAGAACAACCAGTCACAAATGACATGTTAACTGGTACATATAAAAAACAGCCAATCACAAATGACTCATTAACTGGTACACGTAAAGAACAGCCAATCACACAGTGTGTTGCTGTGACTGAGTATGTTAACTCCAAAAGCCACAAGAGGGGGAAAGCTGTTCTCCACAGCACACACACAATTTTAAAGAAGGGGTCCTCTGAAAGGCCAGTGGCGCATTGGGCATACCCATATTTTTTTAGGCCAATAGGCCCTCGGTGGATGATGTGGTCAACATCACACCGGGTGCCTTTACTTCCCAAGACTTCACCTGGTACCCATTTAAGGCTGGGTCAACCTGGGAGCCAAGGTCATGTCTAAAAAAAATTGGGAACCATGAGGGTTTGACCCCACAACCTTCAGCTCCGCAGGCAAGCATCTAGCCACTACACCATGACAGCTCTCACAGTAGTGCACACAACAGTAAAGTAAAAAAACACCGGTCAACTCACAACATAAAGAGTATTGGGTGGTGGAGTAGCCAGCGGGAGGCGTGACGGGGGATTGCTGTAGACTGGATCTAGGTCATCATCCTCATCAGTGTCAGACTCGGAGAACTCGTGACGGTTGCTCACACGTCCGATGCTGGCTGCCAGGTTGGACGGTGTTTCATGGGGTTCATTATAAACGTTGTTTGTCCTGAGATCAAGCAACGTACATCATATTTATGTTCATACAGCTGATTTACCACACTGACATAAGAAATCATTCAACATACAGTAAAACTGTGATCAACCTTCACTGTCCGGACCAGGGATGTGGTGAATAACCGAACAGAAGGATAACAGAAATCTCATAAACCATATGCATAGTAACTTCACTGCAAGATTGGGACAAATTGAAAATAAAATCCTTTAAAAGTGAATAACACACACATATCATTTTAAATTTTACAAAACGGTCAATATAAACTTCAGTATAACAGTAATAATGTACAGACATGTATTGCAATACTATAAATAAACTTTCGTTACTTCAGAATTATCCATCTGTCATCTATCCTGACTCTTGAGGTTAGAGCTTTCTGTGCAGCCATGTTTTGTGTATTACCCAGAAGTAGGATCTGTGTTGCATTTGCCTCCTTGCAATTCAACCCAACTGATGCACTTTGATAACATTTCTGCTGCTCAGTGGCTAGTTGTCGGTTTTTGATTAAGAACTGATCCTTCATTGTTGTGGGCAATTTTAAAGATGTGTATGTTGATACTCACGCATTTCTTTTGAAGACGATGACAGATAACAGAAACTGACAGTTAAGCGAGTGATGGTTAATCAAAGTTTTACTGTATTATTATTATTATTATTATTCTTCCTTCTCCTTCCTCCTCCTCCTTCCTCCTCCCCCTCCTTCTCCCTCCTCCTCCTTCTTCTTCTTCTTCTTCTTCTACATGTTTACTGGCTATAATCTCCAGTGTAAAATTCTGGCTGTTCATCCATTTCTGGAAGTCAGTCTTGTTCCAGAAGTTGAGTTATGAATGCACATCCATTTTACAGATCTGACTTATTTGTGTGCAGCTGCTGGTTCGTTTTCATCTTATCACTGCATGTGTCTGTCACATAAATAAACAGAGGGGTAACCCTAGAAGCTGCAGAAGTATTATATGTATAACAAACAAACAATGTATTGATCGGCACTCAAAGAAAAAAGTAGAAAGAGAGTAGGACACACTGAGTCCTATCTTTCTACTTCTTTTTATTAAAAAAATAAAAAATATGAGAACAACTAATAGAAAGAAAGTTCAACCACCACAGCGCCAGAAACAGAACAGACAGAAAGTTAAACCACCACAGCAACAGAAACAGAATAAACAAAAAGTTCAACCATAACAGCGCCACAAACAGAATAAACAAAAAGTTCAACCACCACAGTGCCAGAAACAGAATAAACAAAAAGTTCAGCCAACCACAGTGCCAGAAACAGAATAGACAAAATGTTCAACCACCACAGCGCCAGAAACAGAACAGACAGAAAGTTAAACCACCATAGCACCAGAAACAGAACAGACATGAAGTTCAACAACCACAGCGCCAGAAACAGAATAAACAAAAAGTTCAACCACCACAGCGCCAGAAACAGAATAAACAAAAAGTTCAACCACCATAGTGCCAGAAACAGAATAGACAAAAAGTTCAACCAACTATAGCGCCAGAAACAGAATAGACAAAAAGTTCAACCACCACAGAGCCAGAAACAGAATAAACAAAAAGTTCAGCCAACCACAGTGCCAGAAACAGAATAAACAAAACGTTCAGCCAACCACAGCGCCAGAAACAGAATAGACAAAATGTTCAACCACCATAGCGCCAGAAACAGAATAGAACAGAAGAAAGTTAAACCACCCAGAAACAGAACAGATAGCCACCAGAAAAACAGAACAGACAGAAAGTTAAACCACCATAGCACCAGAAACAGAACAGACAGAAAGTTAAACCACCACAGTGCCAGAAACAGAATAGACATGAAGTTCAACCACCACAGCGCCAGAAACAGAATAGACATGAAGTTCAACCACCACAGCGCCAGAAACAGAACAGACAGAAAGTTAAACCACCATAGCACCAGAAACAGAACAGACAGAAAGTTAAACCACCACAGTAGCACATGAAGTTCAACCACCACAGCGCCAGAAACAGAACAGACAGAAAGTTAAACCACCATAGCACCAGAAACAGAACAGACAGAAAGTTCAACCACCACAGCGCCAGAAACAGAATAGACATGAAGTTCAACCACCACAGCGCCAGAAACAGAATAAACAAAAAGTTCAACCACCTCAGCGCCAGAAACAGAATAAACAAAAAGTTCAACCACCACAGCGCCAGAAACAGAACAGACAGAAAGTTAAACCACCACAGTGCCAGAAACAGAATAGACATGAAGTTCAACCACCACAGCGCCAGAAACAGAATAGACATGAAGTTCAACCACCACAGCGCCAGAAACAGAATAGACATAAAGTTCAACCACCACAGCGCCAGAAACAGAATAGACATGAAGTTCAACCACCACAGCGCCAGAAACAGAATAAACAAAAAGTTCAACCACCTCAGCGCCAGAAACAGAATAAACAAAAAGTTCAACCACCTCAGCGCCAGAAACAGAATAAACAAAAAGTTCAACCACCTCAGCGCCAGAAACAGAATAAACAAAAAGTTCAACCGCCACAGCGCCAGAAACAGAATAGACATGAAGTTCAACCACCACAGCGCCAGAAACAGAATAGACATGAAGTTCAACCACCACAGTGCCAGAAACAGAATAGACAAAAAGTTCAACCACCACAGTGCCAGAAACAGAATAGACATGAAGTTCAACCACCACAGTGCCAGAAACAGAATAGACAGAAAGTTAAACCAACTACAGCGCCAGAAACAGAATAGACAAAATGTTCAACAACCACAGCGCCAGAAACAGAACAGACAGAAAGTTAAACCACCACAGTGCCAGAAACAGAATAGACATGAAGTTCAACCACCACAGCGCCAGAAACAGAATAGACATGAAGTTCAACTACCACAGCGCCAGAAACAGAATAGACATGAAGTTCAACCACCACAGTGCCAGAAACTGAATAGACAAAAAGTTCAACCAACCGCAGCACCAGAAACAGAATAGACAAAATGTTCAACAACCACAGCGCCAGAAACAGAACAGATATAAGGTTTAGCCACTACAGCGCCAGAAAAATAATTTAAAAAAAAGTTCAACAGAAACAGGAAACAAAAATACTCACATCTCTTTGTGTTCAATGCTGCTATTGTTGTTATCTTCCTCGGAATGCCTCCCCTCATCGACTTTGTTGCCTCGATCCTGAGCAGAGATGTTGGACTGTTTTCTGTCTGTTCTCTCCGTGGGCACTGGGTTGCTTCCATTCTGCTGGGGCGACAGGAGGCTGGTTCTCTGGGTGAGACAAGCAGCATTCATCAACAAAGACAAAGAAATTATGTTTAGTCTGGAAGGGACAGATAGAATCTGTTTAGTCTGAAGGAGACAAATAGATCCTGTTTAGTCTGAAAGGGACAAAAAGATTATTTTTAGTCTGGAAGGGACAAATAGATTATTTTTAGTCTGGAAGGGACAAACAGATTATGTTTAGTGTGGAAGGGACAAACATAATCTGTTTAGTCTAGAAGGGACTAATAGATTCTGTTTGGTCTGGAAGGACAGTGGGACAGATAAGATGGCTGCTTTTCTGAGTAGAGTATCTTATTTCATTTTATTTACTTAAGATAACTTTATCATAAAAATAAAACAAGCAAATTATAGAAACTGTGCAAATTATAGAAACTGTCAAATTTGTTTAAATAACAACAAAATATGTTTTAAATGCTACAACAATCAAAACAAGCCATGCCAATAACTACAACTTCAGTCAACAACTTGACGAAAGAAACAATCAATTTCTTCAACACAAATGGAAGAAATCAACAGTAAAATTGCAATATTCCTCAAGAATCCCCCATATTTACCTCCAAGCAGTGAATCCAATAACAATGCTGACATATTTCACAAGATGCCACTTCCGTTCCCCCAATACTGCCACATCAAACTTTCTGCTTTTGAAAGATACTAGCAAGAACATCTACATTTTTTTTTAAATCACCTTTCTGTCTATTATTCAGTCAATCAATCTGCATTATTAATAGCACGTTTGGTAGGCAGGTTTTTAATCAAAAGCTTCCAAATGTTTTGTCAGTTTCAGAAAGCCAGTATGTATTTATTTTGCAGTCAAAATGCCAGTATTTATTTGTGGAATGACAAATTATATTCTTGACAGTTTCAGACAGTCACTGTGTCCTCTCAGCAGACAGTTTCAGACAGTCATTGTGTCCTCTCAGCAGACAGTTTCAGACAGTCACTGTGTCCTCTCAGCAGACAGTTTCAGACAGTCACTGTGTCCTCTCAGCAGACAGTTTCAGACAGTCACTGTGTCCTCTCAGCAGACAGTTTCAGACAGTCACTGTGTCCTCTCAGCAGACAGTTTCAGACAGTCACTGTGTCCTCTCAGCAGACAGTTTCAGACAGTCACTGTGTCCTCTCAGCAGACAGTTTCAGACAGTCACTGTGTCCTCTCAGCAGACAGTTTCAGACAGTCATTGTGTCCTCTCAGCAGACAGTTTCAGACAGTCACTGTGTCCTCTCAGCAGACAGTTTCAGACAGTCACTGTGTCCTCTCAGCAGACAGTTTCAGACAGTCACTGTGTCCTCTCAGCAGACAGTTTCAGACAGTCACTGTGTCCTCTCAGCAGACAGTTTCAGACAGTCACTGTGTCCTCTCAGCAGACAGTTTCAGACAGTCATTGTGTCCTCTCAGCAGACAGTTTCAGACAGTCACTGTGTCCTCTCAGCAGACAGTTTCAGACAGTCACTGTGTCCTCTCAGCAGTTTCAGACAGTCACTGTGTCATCTTAGCAGACAGTTTTCAAAGCTCAGTATTTTCTTCTTGGCATTAAAAAATAGAAACTCAGCATCTGTTTTTGTGTGTGTTAATTTCAAAAAGCCAGTATTCTTTCTTGCCAATATTTCTGAAAGCCAGAATTTGTTTTTGATAGTAGTAAGGATGTCAGAAAGCCAGTATTCATTCTTGCCAATATTTCTGAAAGCCAGAATTTGTTCTTGATAGAAGTAAGGATGTCAGAAAGCCACTATCTATTTGTGCCAATGTTTCCAAATGTCAAAATTATTTCTTGGTATTCAGAGATTCAGAAGGTCAGCATTTGTTCCTGGTACCTGACCTTCAGAAAGCCAGCATTTGTTCCTGATACCTGACCTTCAGAAAGCCAGCATTTGTTCTTGGTACCTGACCTGCAGAAGGCCGGCATTTGTTCTTGATACCTGACCTTCAGAAGGCTAGCATTTGTTCTTGGTACCTGACCTTCAGAAGGCCAGCATTTGTTCTTGGTACCTGACCTTCAGATGGCTAGCATTTGTCCAAGGCTGTCACAGTTTCCGAACCAGTATTTTTTCTAGATGGCAAGAAGGCCACGGACTCCTAGATGTTCTAAAGACTGTTGGGAATTCCCACAAAGCTAGCACAATCTTCAATCATGTTATCTTATTCCTTCTCACTTCCTCTTTCACGCTTCAGGTGTTGAAAGAGATATGAGGTTCTGCTTCTTGCTCTTCTGGCCGCCTCGACCATAGACTGAAGTTGAGTCTCTCTTATGCCATCCTTCCATTTTGTTCTTGGTCTACCTCTTGCTCTGTCCTTCTCCTCTTTTAATGAATGCCTTATATGGTATGGCATCACATGGCATACTCTCTAAGCAGTGAAATGATTTGACTTGCCATCTTTGCATGTAATTTAGAATTGGTTATGTGCCGAATATTTCTCTTATGACCTCATTCCTGATTTTATCTCTTCTGGTCATTCCGGCAGCCCTTCTCAGACATCTCAATTCCATGGTTACTAACTTTCTGTTCTGGTTTGTTGTGAGTAACCACGTCTGGTACCAGTAGCATAGAGTGGAAGTGAATATGCTTTGTATGAGATGTCTCTTTGTGCTGATCAGGACTGTCTTATGCTGTAAGAGGAAGGGGTGGGGTGGAAGGTAGTTGTCCCAATACTTGGTTTCAATCATGTTACACCTGATAAAATATTTTTCTGTGATGATCTTCATGAAATGTCATCTTCTTCTGAGGTGACTGAAGCATTCTCCCTTCAGCCAGTTTGCTTACTCGTCCATCCACAAATAATCCCATCTTATGACAGCTCCAACTCTGTCAGCCTAAAACTCATGAAGAACTTGACCGAGTTCCTCTTTGGCTCCATACAGCATGAAGTTTGGGGGCTGATTTAGTAGGCTTAGGTAACTCATAATAAGAAATATTTATGCTCTGATTTCTGAGAAAGCCATCTTCTCCGGAAATGACTGAAGCCTTTCTTCCCTTGAAGCACCTTGCTAACTCACTCACAGTTTATGAAAGTCTTGATTTATGTATGGATATCTTTCCATAGCTTCTTCTTGCAATGACACCTTTCCTGATTACTTTGACAAGACTGATCATTTTATGAAGGTGATTATGCTTCTAGAGTACTCTTTAGTTTCAAACAGATAAACCATTGGGCTGGCGGCCTTATCTGAGCAAATATACAGGTAGCAGGAATGGGTCAAGTCCTTAACCTGAACTTTTCGCCCCAGAAATGCATTTGAAAAAATCCTTAAAAGTGAATGCTAGTTGCTGCATTTGTGCCTGCGCAGCAGCATTTACGAGGTCAGGATAAAAGGATGTTTACCAAAAAATAGCATTTGGGGGTGTTTTCTTGCAGACCTGGTAGCCTTTTAAAAACCAATTTGACACCAAATTCTCCTCGTAGCTTCATTGATAGAGGTCAAAGGGTTCCTGGGAATTCATTCTATTGAATAATTTACTTCGTGTTTATTGAAGAATCCCTTTATATATCTCGAAAAATACCTGCACTAAAAATAATTACTAGTGACCTCCGTAAAATTGCTTTTCCCCCTCATGAATTCTGGGAAATCCTTTTGTAAGTATTCATGGGGTGAAAGGATTAATGGTATGTGAGAATTAGGGACAGAAACCTTTTTTCACTTGGGACCACACAGCAGACAACAGATACATGATGGAACCCTAGCTCTGCAAATATTCATTCCCCAATTCAGCAATTCTTGTCTCTCTTACACAACTTCAGAATCATCACTGTTATATTCTGAGCCAGTTTCCTCCAGTGAAGTCTAACTGGTATTTATAGAGCCAAGCTGGTTTACCATATTCACCCAGACAGTCTGATGTGGCATGTTTGTTATGATACTTTGATGTGGGACATTTATTACTATTCTCAGCTGCTGACCATACATCATGATTCCTTGATGTAGAACATTTTTTTCCTGATCCCTTGATGTAGAACATTTATCCTGATCCCTTGATGTAGAACTTGTTTCCTTTTACTCTGATGCCAAATTATTACCATGATCCCTCAATGCAGAATGCCTATCATGATACCTTGATGTAGAACATTTATCCTGATCCCTTGATGTAGATCTTGTTTCCTTTTACTCTGATGCCAAATTATTACCATGATCACTCAATGCAGAATGCCTATCATGATACCTTGATGTAGAACATTTATCCTGATCCCTTGATGTAGATCTTGTTTCCTTTTACTCTGATGCCAAATTATTACCATAATCCCTCAATGCAGAATGTATATCATGATACCTTGATGTAGAACATTTATCACCATACTTCAATGTAAACAAATTATCATTTTACTTTGATGCAGAACATTTATCCTGATGCTCTAGCATAGAACATTTATGACACGCTAATGAAGAATGTTTATCATGATCCATTGATGCAGAACATTTATTGTGATTCCCTGATGTAGAACATTTATCATAATTGCATGATGTAGAACATTCATCTTAATCCCTTGATGTAGAATATATATCACAATCCCCTGATGTAGAACATTTATCACAATCCCTTGATGTAGAACATTTATCACAATCCCTTGATGTAGAACATTTATCATGATCTCCTGAAGTAGAATATTTATCATGATCTCCTGAAGTAGAACATTTATCATGATCTCCTGAAGTAGAATATTTATCACGATCCCTTGATGTAGAACATTTATCATGATCTTCTGAAGTATAACATTTATCATGATCCCTTGATGTAGAACATTTATCATGATCTCCTGAAGTAGAACATTTATCATGATCCCTTGATGTAGAACATTTATCATGATCTCCTGAAGTAGAATATTTATCAAGATCCCTTGATGTAGAACATTTATCACGATCCTTTGATGTAGAACATTTATCATGATCTCCTGAAGTAGAACATTTATCATGATCCCTTGATGTAGAACATTTATCATGATCCCTTGATGTAGAATATTTATCATGATCTACTGATGTAGAATATTTATC